GTGTTTCTCATCCAATCAGGATTTATTCACAAACGTTTTTTAAGCTCTCTGTTTGTGCAGAGCCTTGGGAAAGAATGAAAAATTGAATCAGACAGGTGCCTATGGTCTAGGGGAGAAAGAAGCCTATACATAAATGTCACTATGTAAGATACGAGCGTGGTGGTACCAAGAGAGGTCCCAGTAATATTAAACAGGTATGCAGGGTCCTGTGTTTACGTATCAGTTGAAGCCTCCAGGCCATCTCTTTCAGGACAAATCAGGAGTTGGGCTGGAATAAAGTATTTATGGAATGAGAAATGCAGAAATTGTGGAATTTTCATCTTATAACTGGAAGCTTTCTCCTCCAGGGAAAGGAAACAAATTAGGCTTAAATTTCAGAGTTTCTTCTCTGATAATGTGAAGTGTCCAGCGAGGGCCTCAGCAAAGGATTTGTGCAGGCGGACGTGGACCCAGAGATACTGCTGATTAGAGCCAGCTTCTCTCTTCCTAGCAGTCAGTTAGACAGCTTGACAGTCCTGTGGACCTTATTGTTTTGGAGGTGTTGGGAATCCCATGTGGTTTAATTAGTAGGAATTAACTTGCTATATGAAGAATTTTTCTTTCCTGTATGGACTTGAAATCAACTGTCATCCTAGCAAAAAGAAGGAATTCCGCTAAAATTGGAAAGTTGTTCATTTCTTGGCCACTTTTTTGTTTTATTTAGCGGCCCCAGAGCTCATGGAATATGTCATTTGAGTTATTTAAAGTCTAAACCCAAACTTATAATTCTTCATGGTCTACAACAGCTGCAGAACAGAAATGAGAAGTGTGGTCTGCTTGGCTCTGACAACAGGGCTCTTGCATAGAAGGCTGAGTTGTGCCGGGGATTGCTCACTGCAAAGACTTCTTTCATCACAGCAAATTAATCTGAGCAGTAATGTCGCCCTCTAAACAGCAGGAGTCTGTCCGCCCCTCGGCGTTTCCTAAAGTAATACTTACTGATAGGGCAGTCGTGCGTGCCGTACTTGGAGAGCCTCATTGGAGGCTAGGGAAGAAGGCAGAAGCTCAGGGAGCCTTTGCCTTTGTAATTTGATGGACCCATTGTTTTCATTTCCTGGAGATATCCCAGAGAGCCACAATAGCAGAGACAGAATCTTACTTGTGATTAAAAGTTCTTTTTTACAAAACTTCTTAGCCCTGTGTTCCCACTTCTTTCCCATCTGAGAGTTGCCCCATTGAGAGAGGCACCACCACAGTTCTGCACCCTTAAAAACTAACAAGAGCTCCCACTTACTGAGCTTTCCCTGCCTGCCAGACGTCGTGTTGAGCTGCTTTATGTACGTATCTCGTGCTTTATGTGCAAGATTTCATTTGATCCTCACGCAGCTCTGCATGGTGGGCACTCGTCCCTTCACGTTGCAGGGGAAGAGCTGAGGCTTGGAGAAGCTAAGCAACATACCCAAGTGATAGAGCCTAGACTCAAACCCAGGTTTGCCACTCGTTAATGGTGACACCAGCCATGTAGTTGCTCAGGCCAAAAAGTGAATGATCCTTGATTCCTTTCTTTCCTTCAGCCTCACATTTGTTTTCTCCACCAATCCTCTTGGGTTTATTTCCTAAATATGTCCCAAATCTGGCCACCTGTTTCTGTCTCCACAATACTAGCTTAGTCTAGTCCTGTATTGTCTTTGCCTGGAACCCAGTGGCAGCCTCTTCAACTGGTCTTCTTCCATTACAGTCCATCCTCCCTCCCCACAGCAGTGGAATGATATTTTAAAAATCTCAATTAGATCCTATCACTTCCTTGTTTAAAACCCCCAGTGACTACCCAATTGCTATGAGAAGAAAATCTCACCTTTACCATGGCCTACAAAAGGCTGTGCGGTTGCGTTCCTGCTGCCTCTCTGACCTCACGCCCCCTGTCATCCTCTCTGTCCCTCGGACTCACCAGGCTCATTCCAGCCTTTGCACCAGGTCCCCTGCTGAGAAGGCCCTTTCCAGATCTTTGCTTGACTAGCTCCTTCTCCTCATTCTGGTCTCTGCAGCCTTGTCTGATCACCCTGTATAAAGAAGCATTTAGAAATATTGTTTTCGGGCGCCTGGGTGGCTCAGTTGGTTAAGTGACTGCCTTCGGCTCAGGTCATGATCCTGGAGTCCCTGGATCGAGTCCCGCATCGGGCTCCCTGCTCG